TTATATATAATTGTCTTGAAAAGTGTCAAAATATCAAAGTTTATTCTTTTTTCTTAAGATGCTTTATATTGTTGTTAGCTTGAGTTATATGTAGTTGTTTTTAAAGTAGTTTGAATGTGGGTTTAAGTAAGAGATAGCTTGATTGGTTTGAACTTGAGACTTTTTTTATAATTATTATAGAATTTGATAATGTGGCATATTTTATTAGTTCTCAGACATTTGTAAATGCTAGTTTTTTCCATGTAATTATACATTTTGTATGACTCTAAATAGAACCAAACCGACTGCTAGATGATAAGTTTAAAGTCATACAAACGGCAAGTAGTTTTTGTGATGTAATGGTGAGGGCTATGATGGGTGTATTTGGAGTTTTGGGTTGGTTGTTTTGTTTTTGATATGGTTGATATCTATAGTTATTTTTTATTGTTTTGTGGTGTATAAGATTTATGAAAAAGAGTTTCTTTTCTTTGTTTCAGATTAGATTAAAATAAAAGTATCTACCAACAATTTTATTTTTACTTTGTTATGTCATGTTGTACTGTTAGATGTTATTTACATGGTTTGAAGTTTTTATTCATTCGTAAGTGTAACAATCTATAAGGTAAGAAAAGGGGAGAGGATTTGGTGATTGAAATTGACATTTAAGTAAAATAAAATAAATGGTAAGAAAATCTACGTCTCTTTATGATGTAAATTCTATGAACAGTTTTATGAATCCTGGCTCATTTTAGGAGTTGTCTAGAGTTTGACTAAGAAATATAAAAGTTGAGTATGATTTGAAAGATCTAATACTCAAGTTTATATGAATGAATTTTAGTTAAAATTAAAAGTGTAATTAGTGTAAGTTTGTTAATGTTGTCAAAACAGCTGGGTGTTTCTATCTTTGTTTTCAATTATGTAGTAAATTAGTTATTTGATTTGTTTTCATTGTTTTTAATTATAAGATGCTGCTATTTTGCAAGATCAGCTCTAGCTATTACGTTGTTTGAGTGCGAGGTAACTTTTAAGTTGGAATCTTTTGTTTTTTTGTTTTTTTTGTGTGGTTTCCTTTTTTGGTTATGTGTGATTCTACTTATTTGGTTTATTTATTTATTTTATGTGTATTGGTTGATTACGAATGTAGTATTAATGATATTTTTTAATTTTGGGTTTTGTTATTTTTTATTGTTTTTGATTTCGTTAAGTATATTTTGTGTTTATATTAGTTAAAAGTTGTATGTGTTAAGTTATTATATTTAGTGACGGATTTTATTAGCAAAGGAAATGAGAATAGAATTAGAAAATTGAGAAGACAATAGAATATTCATACGGGTAGTTTTTCTTTGTTTGGCATTGATGGATATGAATATGATAGACATGTTTCTGAAGTTAGAATAAGAAGATATTCAAGTTTAGTTAATAATTCAATGAAATGTATAAGTAATGGAAGAAAGCATGGTGATATTAGTCTTGATAATATTAATGGAGATGAAGATAGTACAATTATTGGTAATATTAGGAGAACAAGGTCTTTAGTTTTAGTCTTTAATTTAATGCGGTCTGTTAGTCATGTATCCGAACATGTTCCTGTTGTTATCAATGGAAGAAATGGATATCTGTGTTATGTATTATTGCATTCTGCTAATGAAAAATTACAAACCATTAGAGTTAAAACATTCAAATTTGTTGTTATAAGAGATTCAATTGCTTATATTATCAACTGACAAAACATTTCATTTTTTATGCAATGCCTTGATATATCAGAATGCTTTGTATTGGGCTTACCAGATAAGGATTATGGAGAAGCTGTATCTGCAATAGTGGTACTGGAGTTGGAAACAAAAATGAAACGGGAAGACTCAAGTTCTGCTTTAAGTTTGGAAGAACTTTGCAACTGCGCTAAAGACAAACTTGCTCCATACAAGGTTCTGCAGCGTTACTACCTTTCCCTAATTTCCTTTTGTCATGCTTAATATTGAATCATGATCTCCAAACCTTTTGAGTTCAATGTTAGCTTGATTTCTATAGATGTCAATACTGTATGCTAAACAATGAGATAGTATTGCGCACATAATTGATCCTTTAGAAATGACTTAGTGATATTTTAAACTAATATTAACAGTTTTTATTTAACATTTCTATTCAACAATTAACATTTCCTACTTGATATCACAATTACTTTCTTTTTTCTACTATTTTAAGAAATCTTTATGCATTTAATTTAATTTTTAATTCAATCAAATATTAATTTAATAAAATACAAAAAATTAATAAAACAAACTGGGCGAAGCAGAAATCGATTACTAGTAAAATATAAAAGTTAATACGCATGATTAGACTTGTACATTGGCCGATGGGCTTGGCTCCACTAGAATAGGGCTTTGGATAGGGATATTCGGAGTTTGATTCACTTTGAAATATTAAATTATTGATAAAAATATTTTTATTTAATTTTAAAATATAGTTAAAATAATAAAATTTTTGACTTTTTAAAAAAAATAATTTTGGTCTCTTGGAACAGACGAGCTAAACAAAGCTTTTAGAAGCTTGATCATGTCAGATGCAACTTAACTCATGAATATCTTTACACGTAATATAAAAAATATAATAGTATTTTTTTTTTCCTTTTCATTTAAAGCCTTAGTAGTAATTTCGTTGGTTCAAAGAAAATATTACAATTTTAGGCCAAGCTAAGCTAATATAGTACAAATTATTTATTTATTAATTATATTAGTGAATTGTTCAAATGCTAAAAAATAATACTATAAATTATAATTTTTTATATAATTGAGCTAAAAATTAAATTTTTATTATTAAAACTAAAAATTTAGCAATCAATACAATGACTTTTTCCGCCATCTGCCTTTATCTCTTTGTGTCTTCCCCACCTGGGTATACTATTTTTTTTATTTTTTTTATTTAGCCAATAGAATTCGTCTCTTTGGATTGTGAAATAAAATAGTTACAAGCTTTGGAGAATATGCTTTGGTATATCACAGTTCGCATTACCGTAGAGGATCACCATTGTATTAGATTATAAATTTATCTAGAGGTAACAAATGGGGAGATTTAGACAAATTTTGATTAAATTGTTTTTGGATTCGAATCATTTAAATTATGAATTTTTTAAAGATTCATATCATTTTGAGTTCGGATATTTTTAGATTCAAATAATTTTAAATTAAAATTTTTATGTTCGAATCATCTTAAATATGAATTATTTTGAGTGTAAATTATTTTAAATTTGATTCACTTTGCATTGGACGAAGTTAAACAAAATGAATCATTCGAAATTTTATACAATATGGATTTTCTATAATTATAAATATAATAATTAATTTTATTTTTTATATAATTAAATAAAAATAGGATAGACATTCTTAAGTTAAAAATTAATAAATTTATCATTGATCACAATTTTTTACACTATTTCTCTGCCTTGGTGAATCATTAGTGTTTGCCCCTACTTTGGTTGGATCAATTTTTAAAAACCAATTTTTATATATCAATTAATTATAAAAATATAAAATTAATCAAAGCATTTTTTACAAAGGACATAATAGAAATATCAAAATTAATCTAAATTTACGAATTTAAATAAAAAAATTAAATTATGAAATAAAGCTTACTATATCAAATTAGTATGCAAAAAAGTCAAAAAATTTATATTTAGTTTCTTTGGTAAAAATTTTATTCCGTTATGTATTTACAGTAAATGATTGGATTTCCTTTTTTTCTTTTTTTAACAAATGTTTTTCTTTTTCTCTTTCCCATTTGATGGATTCTTAGCAAGTAGTTCTTTTTTTTTTCTTTTATAATTTCCTTTTTCTAATCTTCTTAACTTTTTTTTTTAAAGTTAATTTCACTAATATCAAAAGAAAATTTTATATCAACCACCAATAATAATTTTATATTTACTTTTGAACCATTACCTTACTCAATTACCTATTTTATTTTTATTAATAAATCAATATACCTTTCAATGTTAAAAATAAAAAAGAAAAAGTTATTTGGATTTTTTACAAAATGAAAATGAAAGAAACCTCTCCCTTTAATGAGTTTTCCATCATTGCACAGGAATATTATTTTACTTACCAATACTTCATCGTATTATAAGTCATCCTACATTTTAATTTAGGATACGTCTCTTGTCCAATCCCATATTTGGATTGGAGAGGTCAGCCCCTTAATTCTTGTGAACTAAAATAGTTATAAACTATATTGAGAAATATGCTTTGGCATATCGCAATCACACCTTTACCGTAGAAGATCAATTAAAATGTTGCAGTATGGGAAATAAATAAGCGATTGTAAATATAAAAATTTGAATATTAAATTTATTAAATACCATTTTAAAAATAATTGCATAACTTCAACTGAACTACAAATCAATCAACGTTGACTTTGTTTTGATCATCAAAAGCGCCAAAATCTGTTTATTACATATCGTCTGTATCTCTAGTTTTCTGCCTTCGTTAATACCGGAGAAATGACCATGAGAAAGAGCAAACTTCCGAGAAAGGCCGGTCAGCAGCATATATGATGGAGCGTCTTGCTCAGGAGGTCGTCGTCCATATACTATCCAGGCTTTCCCTAACATCTTTGCTGAATGCAAAGTTGGTTTGCCAAGCCTGGTGAAGCCTATTACGAGATCCACTTCTTATTACTCGGCATTTCTTGCACACGGCTGAGGCTGACAATGATCCAAACTTCATTTTACAAAGCAAATGGCCTACACGGGATCAGCTTCACTTTCTAGATTTCTCTGATCATATTGAAGGAAAAGTAGTCTCAAAGAAGCATCCTGGTTCCGCTATGCTTATGCATATGGTAGATTCATGCAATGGCTTGCTTTCCATGCATGATGCTTCACGAAGCATGTACATTTGCCACCTGTTTACCAGGCTTTACATTGAACTCCCCAAATTGATTAAGTATCCAGCTCAGGTGGGACAGTTGGGATTCGGTGTTCATCCAACCATAAAAGAATACAAGGTGGTCCAGATAGTATTTCGAAGACAATGGAAAGAGGCGACTCAAATGTACCCACATCTACTTCAATTCAATCTGAGGTTCAGATTCTAACTGTTGGAAGCCCTGCTTGGAGAAATTTAGGAGTAATACCTTACCGTTTTATTTGGCCGACATGGAAGGTTATGGTAAATGGGAGACTTCATTGGCTTTCTACGCCTAACAAATTTAGTACTGCTAGCTTGCTCATATCGTTTGACCTCGAAACAGAGCAATTCCAAGAGGTTTCTAAACCTGATTGCTGTGGCTTAGATAGGTGTTTTCAACATCTGATGGTTCTACGAGGTTGTCTCTTAGCCGGTTCGTATCAGGATAATGAACAATTGGAGAATTGGTTTATGAAGGAATATGGTATGGAGGAGTCCTGGGTCAAAGAATTCAACGTCAGATATAATTACTTGCCCCAAACATTGAATCAAGAAGAGATCCGGTCCTTCAATAATTCAAAACTTCATTTTCCTAAGTCATTCGTTCTAGTTCTATGTATATTGAAGAGTGGTGAGATCTTGTTGGAGTACAAAAGCCGAGCACTTGTTCTTTATGATCCGCGACACGGAACATTCAAGGACTTTACATTTCCAGAAATGCCAAATTGGTTCAAAATAATTACTCATGTTGGCAGCCTCAACTGGCTTGATAGTACTCCTTCCTACTAAGTTTTAAGATTTAAAACATAGTTGTTTCCTTTCATATGCCCTGCGCCTTGTAATTGGTCGCCCTTGTTTTATTGATATCTTCACTTTAGACTGATGAGCTAATAATTTCCGTGTATATATCCAAGGATTAATTAAATCTTGTTGGAAACAAGCAGACATATGAAAGCAACAACTAAAATGACTTGCAATAGCCCTGAATTTAAAGCAATTTCATCTACGTAGTCTTCAAAATTCCCAACTGCACCCAACTGTTTATGTTGCAGGTATTTCTTATAAGACATTTATGCATGCATGCTTTGGTATGATGTAATTAGCATTCCGAAAATAAATGAAAGTTGCATATGATCTAATAATTTAATATGACCACAAAATATACGAGTTTAAAAATAAAATCAAGAGGGAGGACGATGTCAAAATTATTACTAATTATTAATTAGCATTAATTTATTTTTGTGGCTCCATCAAATTCATATATGGTTGATTACCAAATACCAATATCCATTTTCCTCTCTTTTGTTCATCTTCTTGCATCGACAAGACCAACAATATTTTTATACAATATTTTGATGACTTTTTCTATGTTTTACCAATTTGTATCAAACTTAAAATTATGCACACAAACTTTGTTTTGATCGCCAAAAGTACTAAACTTCCATATAGGACTTGTTTTCTGCACCTCGACCTTCGCTAATCAAGGAGAAAGAGATCATGGAAAAGAGCAAATTTGTCAAGACAGACCAACCAGCAGCAAACATGATGGAGCGCCTTCCTCAGGAGATCATCCTTCGGATATTATCCAGGCTTCCTATAACATCTTTGGCGCAATCAAAGTTAGTTTGCCGAGCCTGGCGAAGCTTAATACAAGATCCTCTTCTTGTTAGTCAGCATTTCTCTCAGATGGCTGATAATGATCCAAGCTTCATCTTACAAAGCCTTTGGCGTGCCTCGTGTGGTCAGCTTTACTTTACAGATTTCTCTGATCGTAGCGAACTAAAGGTGATCTCAATGAAACCAGACAATTCCTCTATGCTTATGTCTTTGGTAAATTCATGTAATGGCTTGCTATGCATGCGTGATTCGCGAGGCATATACATATGCAACCCCTTTACTAGGCTTTCGATAGAGCTCCCAAAATTCATTAAATATCCACCAGAATTGGGACTCTTGGAATTTGGTTTTAATCCAACCAAAAAAGAATACAAGGTGATCCAAATATTATATCGACCAAAATTTGAAGAAAGAGACCGTCCTTATGTTAATGAATCTACTTTGGTACAATCTGAGGTTCATGTTCTAACAATTGGAAGCCCCAGTTGGAGAAATTTAGGAATGATTCCTTGCTGTTTCCTTTGGCAACCATCACAGGTTTTGGTCGGAGGCAGACTTCATTGGCTTTCTAAGCCTAACAAATACACCAGAGCCAGCCGGATCATATCCTTCGACCTAAGAACAGAGAAATTTCAGGAGTTCCCCCCTAAACCTGATTGCTGTGGCTTAAATAGGTGTTTCCATCACCTGGTGGTCTTACGAGGTTGTCTCTGTGCAGCTGCTTATCATGATAACGACAAACTGGAGATTTGGGTCATGAAGGAATATGGTGTGAAGGAGTCTTGGATCAAGGAATTTACCATTGGAACCTACTTGCCAACAACATAGCCGCAACATTATCTCAAATTATTCCTTTATGCCAGGGTCCATTTCCCTGATACATTTGTCCGGGTACTATGCATTTTGAAAAATGGTGAGATTTTATTGGGGTACATAAGCAGAGAACTTGTTCTATATGATCCACAACAAGGAACATTCAAGGAGCTTATCTTTCCTGAAATACAAAATCGTTTTAAGATAATTGCTCATGTTGGTAGCCTCAATGGGATTGACAGTACTGTCATTATTTCTTAAGAAGTAATCTGTAATTAATGGATGTTTCCTTTTTTTTGTTTGGATCTGCTTGTTGAAAATCAATCTTGCTTTATTAGATTTGATATGCTTTGCCTTGTCATGGCATGGGTTGCCTAGATTAAAATTTTAATTTCATCAGTCTTCAAAAATGCGCGCTTGAATTCATCACCATTGATGATACAACTTGTCTTACATCTAAACGTGCAAGAAATTCAAGGGTACCAAGCCATTGAACCCTGCATCAGATTATCTACATATCTACATTTTAATGTCCAGCTATAGCCAACTGGATTGCATCAATTGGAAACATATGTAATGTGAAAGAAACGAATAATTAAAAAGATGAAATAATCGATTAAGTTGAAAACTGTGAAGGGTTAGTCGATCGACTAAGCATATATATATAAGTTGATCAACTAACACCATAAAATCCAAGTTGGAACACTTTTAGATCAAGTTGATCTATAAACCCTTTCAATTACTCAGTAAGTCAAAATTAAAAGTGAAAATTTGATTAGTGAAATGACGTCGTTTTGGGTTTTGGCTGCTTATATAAAATCAAAAAATTTTTTTTCAATCATTTTTTTGAATTTTTTAAAAAGATTTTTTTAATTATTATTATTAATATTTATGCATGTAGAAATATTTAAATTTATCAAAATAAATTTTTATTAATACAAAATTGATAAAAAACAATAATAAGAAAAGAAAATTTTATCCAATGATGAGATTTAAAGATATTTCGAGTAATGATGCCTACAAAATCTCTAGATGAGAAGAATTTTTTACTACTAGTGTATTGGAGTATTTATAAAAATTTTTCAATATAATAAAAATTTTCTTTTTGTTAGTAATAAATAAAAATTGATTAATATAAAAAAAAATATAAGTAATAAAAATGAGAAGAAAAGAAATTTTATCCAATGATGGGATTCTAAAAGTATTTCGAGTAGAGATGCTTTAAGAAATCCCTAAATGAGAAGATTTTTTAAAAATATTACCAATGTATTGGAATATTTATAGAAAAAACTTCAATACAATGAAAATTTTTTTTTCTTCAAAATTAAAAAAAATAAAAATAAAACAATTAATAAAATTTTTGAAAAATAATAAAATGTGTGCATCAACATGTTATTATTTGTATTGCATACATGATATAATTTTTTACGAAAAGTAAATTTGGACCTCCAAAGATGAGATTCTAAGGTATTCTGAGAAGTGATACCTAAGAAAATCTCTAGGTGAGAAAGAGTTCTTCTAATGTTTCCAATGTACTGGAACATTTTAAAAATAATTTCAATAAAAAGGTTTTAATTCATTTTTTTTTGAATAATATTTGAATATAAAAAGCAATAAATAATAAACAAAAGAAATCAAAGAAAATTATTTTTCAAACACCAAAAATAGGACTATTTTTTATCAAAATCAAAGGATAACATGTAATTAATTGGTATCATTTTAAACGGACACTATGGTGGTGCTAATCCTTTCTCAAATTTACTTTCCGTAAAAAATTATGTCATGTATGCAATGTAAATAATAATATGTGGATGCACACATTTTATTCTTTTTCAAAAATTTTATTAATTGTTTTATTAATTTTTTTATTTTTAATTTTGAAGAAAAAAAGAATTTTCATTGTATTGAAGTTTTTTCTATAAATATTCTAATACACTGGTAATATTTTAAATAAATCTTTTCACTTAGGAATTTTTTAAAGCATCTCTACTCGAAATACTTTTAGAATCCCATCATAGGATAAAATTTCTTTTCTTCTCATTTTTATTACTTATATTTTTATTATATTAATCAATTTTTATTTATTACTAACAAAAAAATTTTTTTTATTATATTGAAAAATTTTTATAAATATTACAATACACTGGTAGTATTTAAAAAAATTCTTATCACTTAGAGATTTCGTAGGCATAATTACTCGAAATACCTTTAAATTTCATCATTGGATAAATTTTTTTTTTCTTATTATTGTTTTTTTATCAATTTTGTATTAATAAAAATTTATTTTGATAAATTTAAACGTTTATACATGCATAAATATTAAAAATAATAATTAAAAAAATCTTTAAAAAAAATTAAAAAAAATTTTTTTTTACCTGAATCGGACTGGTCAACGATCCGGTCAACGCGGGTCCGATCGGATCGACGGCTCGGTTCGGTCTGACGGTTCAGCGGTTCAAGTGCGATCCGATTCGATCTGACGGTTCAGCTGGACCGATCAGGAGCTGAAGGAGAAACGGGTCGTCGTGTCGTGTGCGCGAACCCCGGATCGGGTCACGGGTCGACGTGCGGATCCTCAGATGTTAAAACGACGTCGTTTTGGGCATTAGTGAAACGATGTCGTTTTGGGTTTTGGTTGCTTATATAAAACCAAAATTTTTTTTTCTATCATTTTTTTCTCCCCACAAAAATCTTCCCTTTTTCCTTTCAGACAAAAAAAAATCAGGGTACCGACCGGCCGTTGTCGCCGCCGTCATTCTCTGTAACCGGCCGTCGTCATCGGTGGTCAAAAAATCTAAAAAAAAAAACCCAAAAAATCCTTCTCGTCCCCCTAAACACAGATCTAGGCTTAGTTTCTCTCGAAAGTATCCCAAACGACCCAGATCAGCCTTCAAAGTTTTGGCCAAAAAATAATTTTTTTTGTGTGCTTTTTTTGGTGTATTTTGGTGCTGGATTCTCGTTCTAGGGGACTATTTCTGCTTTTATTTTTGTGTTTCTGCAGAGTTTTTTTTTTTTTTACAGAAGCTTTTTTTTGTTCTTTTGTAAAATTATTTTGTCATTTTTTTTTTCGGTTCCTCCTCTTCCTTTTTGTTTACAGATAACAAGCTCTATTTATAGAGCTTTTTGGGATTCAAATCCCAGATTTTTTGGGATTCGAATCTCATTTTTTTAACTGAAAATTCATGCCTGCTGTTCGTGATTGGCGGTTTGTCGGTCGGTCGCTGGTAGTTAGCGGCGGTGATTTTGCACTTTAGGGATTGTGCATTTAATGCACTAGATTTGAACCGGATAAAGAAGAAAAAAGAAAGGAGGAAAGAAAGAAGAAAGAAAACAAAGAAAAAAAATAGATAACGGGAAAAAATAATAATAATAATAATAAATGGTGTTTACAATGGAGTGAATTAGTAAGACTAACCAGATGACGTTGGTTGATTTTTAGTAAAATCTGGAAGTTTACAAATGATTGATTTTTTTTAATGAAACAAATGGTTAATTGACTACTTTTAAGATATCGGCACTCCATAATCTACAACGACTAGTTTTGCTTTCTATTAATAAGTTTTTTATTAAATCGCTTTTTTAAGTATTCAACTTTGATTATCATAATTTGAATTTTGATCATTAAAATTAAAATTTTAATATTTTATTAATTCACACTGTTGTTGGATTGATAAATATAATTGAAAGGTAAATTGATTGGTTGAATAACATCAATATAAGAGATATGTCTCGCTTGTAAAAATTTTCTATAAACAGCAGAGATAGAGATCATTTCAACCGACAACAAAATACAAGTTTTAATATCAATTATTTTTCGCCTTGAAATAGTTAACAGCCTCTTATGCATTTTTGATCGGAAAAAAACCTTATGTAAAAAGAATTCCCATGTTTAATGACTTGATTTCACTATAATGCAAATACAACCAAACATAAATTTTATTGTATCTTAGGATCATTTGATTAAAAGGATCCTCAAAAGGATTCTAAGCTTGACATATGATATTTTTATTTTTGGGTTAGATTTTCTTTTGTGCTGTTTAGTTTTTTATTATTTTTTTCTGGCTGTAGAAGGTTTTTTCTGTCTTTGTTTTTGAAGTGGGATTTGAGTGTGTGGTTAACTCAAGTGATTTTGTATAGGCATATGAAAAATCGTTAATTGACATGTGTTATGTTACATGCTAATTTAAGTTGTTATTTAGTATTATGAAGTTAACATATGTGATCTGAGTTTTTAAAAGTAAAATTATAATATTTAAAAATAAAAAATAAAAGGATAGAGACTATATAAATAATAAGGATAAAAAATTAAAAAAAAGGGAAGATATAGTAACTAGCCTAGGAATGAGTGGATATCCTTCATTTTTTAGATATCCGTATCCAAATCTATTTAAACTTAATATCACTATCCAAATCCAAATTATTTTAAATAAGCACTATCCATTTAAATATTTAAATTCGTTAAAATATTTATTTATTTAAATTTTTTGTCAAAATATAAAATAAACAAGAATTTAATTTAAAATTCAAGTGTACTCTTAATTAATAATAAATAAAACTTATTTTTTACGGTCCGAAACCTTTTAAAAATAGAAAATTTTTTATATTTTTCATGTGTAAATAGATAATAGATTCGGTTATAGATTCAGATATTGGACATACAAGGGATATTATCCGTATTTACTCTAAATTCGACATAAATGAATCAAATAATAACGGATATTCGTGTATTTACTATCTATTGTCATCCCTAAACAAGCCAAAGATAAAAGAGAAAAGTGAAAGAACGAAAAAAGAAAATTGGGGAAGAAGAAGAGAACCTTTTAGATAGGTAAGTTTTTATTTTTTTTCATTTTTTGCTATAAATTGCGGGATTAAATTTTTTTTTTTTTGTGTTTTATCTTTTAGTTTTGAAGAAGGAGAAAAAGAAGCAGAAGGTTCTGTATTAGAATTTTTTTCTCTTTTTTAGGTTTTTGAGAAACTATTTTCTAACTTTGAATTAATGCAAACATAAAGTTAAAGAGAGAAGAATCTATTGAGATCAATGTTGATGGTCTACTTCAGGTTCATGGTATTTCTGGATGTATTTTTTATCTTTTTTGAAAAAAATTTTTACAAGTTTTTTAATATTCCTTGATTTGGGGTTTTAGTTCTAAGTTAAATATTAGATTTGTTGTTGTTACAGACTGAAAGGTTTCCAACGCTTTGCAGGGACAAAGGTCGTTGACTGTGGCGATTCCAGTGATGGCACTAAAGGACAACGAAAGAGTAGTAAAAACGATGACATATAGGAGAAAGCAAAGGCAACGGGGGAAGTTGCAGCAACCACAACAACAATGAGAAGTGCAGATGGTTTTGGGTAATTTTAGTCATTTCGACAATGTAGTACGAAAAGACATGAAGATCTTGAAGAAAGGAGGTAAAAGAGGAGCAGAGTGGGCGAACGAAATGTTTCGGATTCCTCAAGCGAAGACAACTTTGGACAACATTATTTGGCTTCGAAATTATCCTCACTTCTCGCCGCCTGTGCAATCACCGTTATGGCCTCAACCTTATTATCCATGTTACGTTTGAAACCCTTTTTTTTTTTTTTTGGAGGGGGGGGGGGTTCAAATTAGTAATTAATTAATTGTTGAAAATGCAGTTAACGAGAAGGAAAATGAATAGAGAAATGAAGGAAGATAGGAGAAAATTCTTTTTGATTTTGTTTATTTTTTAATTTTATATTGGTGAAATTAGAAAATAATTAACAGTTGAAAATTTTATTTAAACTTCGGTGGTGTTTGGATTGAGAGAAATGAATAGAAAGAGAAGGAAGATAAAGAGAAAACTTTCTTACAAATTTTCATGTTTGGTTTACAAAATCAAGAGAGAAATGAACGAAGAAAAGAAAAAATTTCCATTATTTGATTTTTATATTTGGTGAAATTAGAAAGCATAGGTAGATGAAATTAATTAGTTTTAATTTATTCTATTTTAATTATTGATAATGGAATATGATTGTTTTGATAAAACTGTCTGATTTGCATTTGATGATGGCTGATCTCAAAGCATTGGAAGCTTATGTTAGTTATTTCTACTACCAATCGAAAGAGTGGTCAAAGCGACTCCCAGAAGCTTATGATGCGAAAGAAGTAATTGACTATTTTCGTCGCTGGCCTCATGTAGTGGCCTTTCGACTTCTTGAGATAGTTAAAACCATTGATCAACCTTATTATGCACTGCCATTTGGTTTTTACTTCTCCAATCTGTCCTTTAAAATGGTTGCTACAAATGTAAAAGTAAACGGTAAAAGAAAAAATCATTATTGATTGAAAATATGCAAATGACTAAAATGGTTGTCTTTAAAGTTTCGGATGATAAAATAAAAATATCATAAAACAAGGTATTAATTATATAAAAATAAATAATTATCCTTGACAAAAACTAAATCATGCATTTTTTGGGTAGTTTTTTATGTTTCTACAACAAATGATTTTTGAGATATTTAGTAGAAAGTAACAAAGTTATCCACGGGAAGGATTCTTTCAGGACACATGCTTTGCACAACAACCTTAAGGTTTTTCATATTTGTTTTGTTGTGTTAATGATTGTGTAAAGTAGAAAATGCAATACGCCACAAAATTCATAACAGATACTAATAGAAAATTACATCTTTTCCATTCAAATTTGTACAATGATCAAATATATTTCCTATTTAAAATTGAAAAAATATCAAACATCATATCCCCTAAAATTATAGAATATCGTAATGGTTTTGGGATCGTCGAATGTAAAGAATTTTCAAATTGAAAAAAAATGAGAGGAGTCGTCACCAATCTTTTTTAGAATGTGATTGATCACCAAAAAATTATTTTTATAATAAAACTATAAAAACAGGTTTAAAGTTCATTAAAAAGATAAATTTCGATCTATAAAAATCAAGTTGAGTCTGAGGAGTCGATTATGTGTGGGAAATGGATTAGTACTTCCACAATGCTTATAAATTTGTACCAATTAATTATGCGTTATTTCTAGTGTTGGATGAAATAGTTTTAATTTAAAATTTAATAATAATCCTTTCACTTAAAAAAAATAAATTTTTGTTAAAATTCTTTTTTTTAATGAATATTGAAGAAATCTTTAAGTTAAAGAATTATCTTAAAATTCTTCAACATCTAGGCAGAACTTTAAAGATAACTTTTTAATTGATATTTACCACGATATTTCTTGAAAATGAAAATAACATTCTTTGAAGAAGATAATTGTTAGTAACTCTCCAACATCTAAGGCAGAGTACCAAGGAGTATTTCCTTCGAAATATTATTTTTTTAATTTTAAAATTTCACTTTTTGAAGTAAGTATTTTTTTAACAAAAAAATATTTTGTGGCGAAAAAAGTAAACGATGGTATTATCAGATAGCAAGTAACAATTAAAGAAAAAGAAACACAAACGAGTGCAATTAATAACAATAAATGCATGCAAGCCAATAGATGCTGTGTATGATGATGGAATGCAAATTTGAATTTGGATTCCTAAATATAATGAGACCACCTTAGCTCTCTAACATCTAAGCAAAGTTTAGGTACGACTATTTATATTTAAGATCTCATTTTATTATTATACATTTTTTAAAAGTTTTAATCCCATTGTTAAGGTGAATTAAGGACTAGCATGAAAAACTTAATGAAATAAAGTTTCTTAAATATCCCATCATCTAGGCGGTATTCGAGAACAAATTACTTCAAGTGAAATTTTCACACATATCTTAGGATTTTGGAATGGTCTTAGGTAAAGCTTAGGTTGAAGTTTTAAAGTTTGGTGATGATTTTTTTTTTTTTAGTGATGATTCGAGGTTACAAGTCGAATTTAGGGTTTGAGTTAAATTTACGTTTTTAATGAATTTTTTATTTAGGGTTTTGTCTTTAAAGGTTTTGAGATTTTTGGATTTTGGATTTTAGGGTTTTGAAACTTTGGGTTTTGAAAATTTTGGGGTTTGGATTTAAGGGTTTTGAAATTTAGGATTTTGGATTTTAGAGTTTCAATTTAAGGGTTAGGGTTTTAGGATTTAGATTTTTTAATTAAAAAAAACATAAACATCTTTAAAAATCTTCAATATCTGACGGACTTTCGGAGTAAGTTCGATTTTTATAATTTTTGAAAATTAATTAAAATTTTTCATATATTTTTTTATGAAAATTTACTGTTGTTATTATTAATTTATTAATTTAATTTTTTTAATAATTCTCAACATCTAACCAGAATTATTATTTGAAACATGATTATATTCCCTTCAACATCTAGGTAGGGAAAATTTTTTTATTATTCTATTTTGTAATCATTTTATATTTATTTTATTATTATTTATTTTGCATGGTTTATTTTGAAATTAACATAATTATAAAAGATTTTAATTATATATTTCATTACTTATTTTTATCTATTGATTAATTATTTATTGCAACAAAAAATTCATTTTAGTATATTTAAACTTTTTAACATGCATAAATATTAATAATAACATTTAAAATTACAAAAATAATATAAAAAATTTCAAAAAAAATCCAAAAAAAAAATTACCTAAACTGAATTAGTCAATGGTTTGGTCAATGTTGGTCTAGGTCCGATCTGGATTAGTTCGACAGGTTGAACAAATGAAGGGTAGTTCGATGAACGGTTCAATTGAATCGATTCAAGTTTGGTTGAAGGATAGATCGTCAGGTCGGTTATACAGACCTTGAGTCGGGTTGCTGGTCAATACACAGATCCTTTATCCCAAAATAATATTGTTTTGGACTGCTACGCCTATATATAAACCAAGTTTTTTTTAGCTCATTTCTTCTCCCCGTCTAAAAAAAATAACTTTATTTTTTTCTCTCAACCAAAAATCCTTGAAGGTCGACTGATAGCCAAAAGTTAATCACCAACGGTTGCGCCGGCCTTCGTGTTTCACTGTCAGCCACCGATCACCGACATTGAAAAACCTTTAAAAACACCTTAAACCTTCCTTTCTTCATCTTCTTTCCAGATCTGGTGTCCCTTTCACCAGAAACAGTCTCGATCGATGTAGATTAAGGTTTAAGGTTTCAATCTTTTTTTTTTTCTTTTTTTTTTTTTAGAAAAACTAAAACTGATGTGTTTCGTTTGTTTTTGTAAGGAGCTTGGTGTTGGGTTCCTCGTTACGAGGATGACTGTTTTTTCTATGGATTTTTTTGTTTTTCTTTAATTATGGCTGGGTGTTTCGGGTTTTAGCTTTTTGATACGTGAGGGATTTTACGAGATGTTTGGAGTGTGTGTGTGTGTGTGTGTGTGTGTGGTGGTCGTGGTTTGGGCTCTAGCTTTCTGGGTGCTTGGTGAGGGTGAAGGACTTAGGCTCTGGGGAGGCTGGCTTCTGGTTTTGGGTGCGTGTGTGGAGGCCGGGAACTAGGGTAAGGTCGAATTGAGGGTTAGTTTAGGTGTTGGGGCTTTGGATGCAGGCACGGAGACCAGTGGTCTGAAAGGGGTTTTCTGGTAATGGCTGAATGGGGATTCTAGTAGTCTGAGAGTTGGGTTTGCTGAGTGTCCGAGCTTGTGTTTGAGGGTTGAAAGGGAACGAGCTAGGTGCTTTAAAGAGATGGGCATCTGGGTTTTAAGATAATTGGGGCATGGGTTTGTTAGGGTAGGCTATAGGGCTCTAACGAAGGGACTAGACATGGATAGTAGTGGTGCCATGCACAACATTCACTGGCACTATCCCTTTGCTTTTTACATCTTTTTTTTGGTATCTTTCTGTTTGTTTTTATCTTGTTTTTTTTTCTAATATTAAACTAATATAAATATTTTATTATTAATATTTTTTCTATTATTATTATTTTTATTATAATTATTAATATTAATAAACAAAAACTAAAAATATGATTTAAAGCTTTGATAGATCCAGATAAAATTTGATGTTTACAAAAAATAATAATAATTTTATTCTATGTACTTTTCTAATTTCAAAAGCATTAAAATTTAAATAAAATGAATCATTTTGAAATTTTATAAGTTATAGATTTTTTTATAATTTTAAATGTAATAATTAATTTACTTTTTATATAATTAAATAAAAAAATAGTCATACTAAAGTTAAAAATTAATAAATTTATCGTTGATCACTTTTTTTTACACTGTTTCTCTGCCATGGTGAATCATTAGTGTTTGCCCCCACTTTGGGTGGGTCAATTTTTATATATCAATTGTTTATAAAAAATAAAAAATAATCAAAGCATTTTTTTTACAAATGACTTAATAAAAACATCAAAATTAATCTAAATTTATGAATTTAAATAAAAAAATTAAATAATGAAATAAAGCTTCCTTTATCAAATTAGTATGCAAAAAAAAAAAAAGTCAAAAAATTACACTTAGTTTCTTTGGTAAAAACTTTATTCCGATATTTATTTAGACTAAAATATTAGATTTCTTTTTTTTTTTACAATGTTTTCTTTTTCTTTTTCCCAGTTGTTGGATTCTTGACAAATAGTTCTTTTTCTTTTTTTTTTTTATAATTTTCTTTTTTCAATGCTCATAACTTTTTTTTTAATTTTTTAAGTTAATTTCACTAATATCAAAAGAAAGTATTATATCAAACATCAATAATAATTTTATATTTACTTTTGAACCATTGCCTTACTCAATTACCTATTTCATCTTTATTCAAAAATCAATATACCTTTCAATGTTAAAAATAAAGAAGAAAAAGTTATTTGGATTTTCTACAAAATGAAAATGAAAGAAACTTCTCCCTTTAATGAGTTTTCCATCAATGCGTAGGAATATTATTTTACTTACCAATATTTTATCGTATTATAAGTCATCTTACCTTTTAATTTAGGATACCTCCCTTGTCCAATTCCATATTTGGACTGGATAGGTCAGTCCATCCTTTAGTTCTTGTGAAATAAAATAGTTACAAGCTATGTTGAGAAATATGCTTTGGCTATCGCAATCACGCCTTTGCTGTAGAAGATCAATACTCTGTTACATTATCATTGATTTCTTTTTCTTTGTCTTATTAATTTGTTTCAAAGTGCAAATATTTTTTTATATAAAATGTTGCAGTATGAGAAAAAAATACAAGATTGTAAATATTAAAATTTGATTATTAAATTTATTAAATATTATTTTTTAAAATAATTGTATAATTTTAACTAAACTAAGTTTTTTCGAATTCTGAACTACAAATGTTGCAGTATGACTTTGTTTTGATCGCCAAAAGCCCAAAAATCTGTTTATTACATGTCGTCTATATCTCTAGTTCTCTGCCTTCGTTAATACTGGAGAAAAGACTATGAAAAAGGAGCGTTTTCCTCATGAGGTCGTTGTCCGTGTACTAAACGGAATTCCCCTAACATCTTTGCTGAATGTAAAGTTGGTTTGCCGAGCCCGGAGAAGCCTAATACGAGATCCACTTCTTTTTACTAAGCATTTCTTGCACACGGTTGAGGCTGACAATGATCCAAGCTTCATGTTACAAAGCAATTGGCCTATCCGGTATCAGCTTCACTTTCTAGATTTCTCTGAGCATATTGAAGTAGTCTCAAAGAAGCTCCCTAGTTACGCTATGCTTATGAAAATGGTACATTTGCAACCCGTTTACCAGGCTTTACATTGAGCTCCCCAAATTGATTTAAGTATCCAGCTAACGTGGGACAGTTCGGGTTCGGTTTTCATCCAACCACAAAAGAATACAAGGCGGTCCAGATAGTATATCCAAGACGATGGAAAAGAGGCGACTCAAATGTACCTACATCTACTTCAATTCAATCTGAGGTTCAGATTCTAACTGTTGGAAGCCCTGCTTGGAGAAATTTAGGAATGATACCTTACCGTCTTATTTGGCCGACCTCGAAGGTTATGGTAAATGGGAGACTTCATTGGCTTTCTATGCCTAACAAGTATAGTATTGCTAGCTTGCTTATATCGTTTGACCTCGAAACAGAGCAATTCCAAGAGGTTTCTAAATCTGATTGTTGTGGCTTAGATAGGTGTTTTCACCATGTGACGGTTCTACGAGGTCGTCTCTCAGCTGGTGCGTATCATGATAATGAACAATTGGAGATTTGGGTTATGAAGGAATATGGTATGAAGGAGTCTTGGATCAAAGAATTCATCGTCGGAACCAATTACTTGCCCCATACATTGAAGCAAGAAGAGATCTGGTCCTTCAGTAATTCAAATTTTCACTTCCCTAATTCTTTTGTTCAAGTTCTATGTATATTAAAGAGTGGTGAGGTCTTATTGGAGTACAAAAGCAGAGCACTTGTCCTTTATGATCCACGACGTGGAACATTCAAGGACTTTACATTTCCAGACATGCCAAATTGGTTCAAAATAATTACTCATGTTGGCAGCCTCAACTGGCTTGATAGTACTCCTTCCTACTAAGTTTTAAGGTTTAAAACATAGTTGTTTCCTTCATATGCCCTGCGCCTTGTAATTGGTCGCCCTTGTTTCATTGATATCTTCACTTTAGATGGATAAGCTAATAATTTCCCTGTTTATATCGAAGGATTAATTAAATCTTGTTGGAAACAAGCAGACATATGAAAGCAACAACTAAAATGACTTGCAATAGCCCTGAATTTAAAGCTATTTTATCTACGTAGCTTTCAAAAATGCCCAACTGCACCCAACTGTTTATGTTGCATGTATTTCTTATAAGACATTTATGCATGCATGCTTTGGTATGATGTAATTAGCTTGCGACAATAAAATGAAAGTTGCATATGATCCAATAATTCAATATGACCACAAAATATACGAGTTTTAAAACAAAATGAAGAGGGAGGACGATGTCAAAAATTATTACTAATTATTAATTAGCATTAATTTATTTTTATGGCTCCTTCAAATTCATATATGGTTGATTACCGAATACCAATATCCATTTTCCTTACATTTGTTTTTCTTCTTGTATCGACAAGACCAACAATATTTTTATACAATACCGCTATCATTGATGACTTTTTCTATGTTTTAACAATTTGTATCAAACTTAAAATTATGTACCCAAACTTTGTTTTGATCGCCAAAAATACTAAACTTCCATATATGACTTGTCTTCTGCGTCTTGACCTTCGCTAATCATGGAGAAAGCGATCATGGAAAAGAGCAAAGTTGTCAAGACAGACCAACCAGCAGCAAACATGATGGGGCGCCTTCCTCAGGAGATCATCCTTCGGATATTATCCAGGCTTCCTATAACATCTTTGGTGCAATCAAAGTTAGTTTGCCGAGCCTGGCGAAGCTTAATACGAGATCCCCTTCTTGTTAGTCAGCATTTCTCACAGATGGCTGATAATGATCCAAGCTTCATCTTACAAAGCCTTAGGCGTGCCCCGTATGATCAGCTTTACTTTACAGATTTCTCTGATTTTAGCGAAGGAAAGGTGATCTCAATGAAACCAGACAATTCCTCTATGCTTATGTCTTTGGAGGATTCATGCAATGGCTTGCTATGCATGCGTGATTCGCGAGGCATATACATATGCAACCCCTTTACCAGGCTTTCGATAGAGCTCCCAAAATTCATTAACTATCCACCAGAGTTGGGACACTTGGAATTTGGTTTCAATCCAACCAAAAAAGAATACAAGGTTATCCAAATATTATATCGACCACAATTGGAAAAAAGAGACCGTCCTTATGTTAATGAATCTACTTTGGTACAATCTGAGGTTCATGTTCTAACTATTGGCAGCCCTGTTTGGAGAAATCTAGGAATGATATCTTACCATTTTATTAGGCAGACATCAAAGTTTATGGTCAAGGGGAGACTTCATTGGCTTTGTAGGCCTAAAAAGAACACCTGGGCTACCTTACTCATATCTTTTGATCTCGAAACTGAGCAATTCCAGGAGGTACCTAAACCTAATTGCTGCGATTTAGTAAAGTGTTTTCAACATCTGATGGTTCTACGAGGTTGTCTCTGCGTGGGTTCTTCTCATAATAATAAAGAACTGGAGGTTTGGGTTATGAAGGAATATGGTATGAAGGAGTCTTGGGTCAAAGAATTCAATATTGGGTTTTACGTGCCCCAGACATTGCAGCAAAAGGCTTTCCGACGCTTGAGTTATCCATGGGTTGGTTTCCGTAATTTGTTTGTTCAAGTTGTATGCATTTTGAAAAGTGGTCAGATCATATTAGAGTATAGAAGCCAAACACTTGTTCTATATGATCCACAACATGGAACATTCAAGGAGCTTACATTTCCAGGAATACCGGATTGGTTCAAAATAGTTGTTCACATCGGCAGCCTTAATTGTATTGATACTCCTATTAATTTTTAAGACGCGAAAGTAACAAAGCAAATTATTGTAATTCCTTTGGATTTTGATCTTTTTATTACAACAATCTGTTTATTTATATCAGTAACTTTTCCTTTCATTATTTCGTCATTTGCCTTTTTATTATATCTTCAGTTTCTGCTTTTGGATCTTTACCTTAATTATGATTTTTTTCTTCTTAAGAAAAAAGAAAAATGAAGAGAGAGTACAATGCAAAAAAAAATCATTAATTATATTAAACAATGGTGATAGAGCTTCATCTAATTCTTCACTGTTAATAAAGGCTATAGTGCTTAATCTTTTGAAAGGCCCAATAAATATGGTGCAACAAATCACGGTAGAATGAGAATTATTCTACTTAATATATATTATCTATTCTACATAGAATATTTACAACATTTTCTTTTGTTTGTCTTCCTGTGTCGACAAGACCAACAATATTTTTCTACAATATTCTGCTATCATTGATGACCATTTGTTTTCGTTGGTTTACTTTTATCAATTTGTATCAATGTGCAAATGAATTTTGCACCGGCCACTTTGTTTTGATCGCCAAAACCTCAAAACTCCGTCTATAATATCCAAGAAAAAAAAAAAAAAAGAACTGTCTTCTATGTCTCTAGCTTCTCTGATAAACAAGACAGAGCAGAATATGAAGACAACGATGGAGCAACTTCCTTAGGAGATCATTCTTCGTATACTATCTAGGCTTCCAATAACATCTCTGCTGCAATCAATGTTGGTTTGCCGAGCCTGGCGAACCTTATTACAAGATCCGCTTCTTGTTAGGAACCATTTTTCACACATGGCTGACAAAGGTCCAAGTTTTTTCTTCCAAAGCAATCGGCCTAGCTCATCATATCAGCTTTTGTTTATAGATTTCCTAGATATTCATAGCGAAGGAAAGGATGTTTAAGAACTTCCAATTCCTCTACGTCCATGTATTTCGTAGATTCATGCAATGGCTTGCTATGCATGCGAGATGTATACAACCCCTTCACCTGCCTTTACTTGGAGCTCCCAAGATTGATTAACCATCCAGTAGAGGGGGAACATATTGCATTCGGTTTTCATCCATCGACAAAACAATACAAGGTGGTGCAGATAGTATATCGAAGACAATTGATTAGAGGAGTCGGCCTATTTGATGTTACTACATCTACTTTAATACAGTCACAGGTTCATATTCTAACAATTGGTGATCCCGCTTGGAGAAATATAGGAATGTTACCGTATGATTTGACTCGGCCAACATCGAAAGCTTTGGTCAATGGGAGGCTTCATTGGCTTTCTAAGCCTAACAAGAACACCACGGCTAGCTTACTCGCATCGTTTGATCTTGCAACTGAGCAATTCCAGGAGATGCATAAGCCCGATTGTTGTGTCTTGGACCGGTGTTTTCATGATCTGATGGTTGTACGAGGTTGTCTCTCAGCTGGTGCTTATCATGATAATGAACAATTGGAGATATGGGTTATGAAGGAATATAGTGTGAAGAACTCTTGGATCAAAGAATTCACCATTGGAACTTACTTGCCCCGAACATTGCAACAAAATGATCTCCTACACTTCAATAATGCAAGGGCTTGATTCCCTAATTCATCTGTTAGAGTTCTATGCATTTTGAAAATTGGCGAGATCTTACTACAGTATTGACACAGAGTACTTGTTCTGTATCATCCACAAAATGGAACGCTCAAGGAACTAAAATTTCCTGAAATGCCACATTGGTACAAAATAGTTGTTCAAGTTGGCAGCCTGAACTGGATTGACACTCCTATTCATTTCTAAAGAGCTAGAGTATACACCGAAGGAGACGATGTTCCATTTCGACTTTTCGTCTTCTTTGATTGTAACCTGTCTTGCTCTTTTTTTTTTTTTGTCATGTGTCTGCCTTGTTATTCATTGTTTGTATTTTTTTAGATTTTCTCTCAATCTTCAATCTAAATGATCTGATTCTTGAAATCTTTACCTTAGAGCGAAAGTACCCGAGGACTTAAGTTGAAAGAACTTAACAAAAACTTCTACGGTAAATATAAATTTTTTGACCTTATTAGAAGATAATTGAATAATAACCGTTGGATATAAATCATTAATATAAACTATTGATTTTTTTAACTATAAAAATAATTAATTACCTGTTAACCTATTAATCTAATTTTAATTAATTACATTAAATATTATTTATCAAATAAAATAAGAGAAACTTTTAACATATAAATATAATCTATTTAAAATTCCTAAAAAAAGGACAAGATAATATAATATTTTAAAAAATTTAATTGAAAATTAGTTAACGTAAAAGGGTGAGAATTATCATAAAATTGGTATTATTTGACATAAAATGTACTAAAAGTATTGTAACATCTTAAGAGAGAGTTGTGATAATTTTAAACGTAATGAAGATAAGAACAAACATAAAAAGATATTATTATAATATAAATAATTAAGTTAACAACTTAAAAGAATTATTATTTTAAATCCAAAGACTAATTATAAACTAATAAATAAGTATTAACGTAAAAATGTGAGATCAATTGTAAAGTTGGTGTTATTTAACGTAAAATAAGTTAGAAGTATCGTAATACCCTTATAAAGAATTGTGATAGTTATAAATATAATGAAAAGTAACAACAAGTATAAAAAGATATTATTATAATAAAAATAATTAAGTTAGTAATGTAAAAGAAATATTATTACAAATAAAAAAATAATTTTAAACCAAAAAATATAAATTAATGTAAAAAGGTAAAAATAATCATAAAATTAGTATTATTTGACGTAAAATGATTACAAGTATTGTTACATCTTAATAAAATATTAAGATAATTCTAAAAGTAATGAAAAGCAACAATAAGTGTAAAAAATATTATTAAAATGTAAATAATTAAATTGCTAATATTAAAAAATAAGTATTATAAATAAAAAATAATTCTACACTAAAAAATTGGTGTTAACGTAAAAAGATAAAAATAATCATAAAATTGATATTTTTTGGTGTAAAATAATTAGAAATGTTATAACACCTTTAAGAAAAAGTTATGATAATTTTAAATGTAATGAAAGGTAACAAAAAGTGTAAAAAGATATTATTATACTGTAAATAATTAAATTAACAATATAAAAATATTTATTATTATAAATAAAAAATAATTCTAAATACAAAAAAAGTGTTAACGTAAAAAAATAAGAGTAATTGTAAAATTAGAATATGTCATAAAAGTGTCCTAGAAGTGTCATAACGTAAAAAATAATAATAGTTGTAAAATTGGTGTCACTTGACATAAATTAGATTAAAATATTCACAACACCCTAACAAAAAGTTGTGATAAATTTAAATATAATAAAAAGTAAGAACAAGAGTAAAACTTTATTATTGTAACATAAATAATATTTTTAGAAACAAAAAAGAATTATTGTTACAAATAACTAATAACTCTAAATCAAAAAATAAGTGTTAATATAAAAAAATGATGAGAGTAACCGTAAATTTGGTATTATTTGGCGTAAAATAGTTAAAAGTATCATAATACCTTTAAAAAAAATTTTATAGTACTTCTAAATGTAATGAAAGATAACAATAAACATAAAAAGATATTATTAGAACATAAATAATTAAGTTGGCATTATAAAAGAACTATTATTATTAATAAAAAAATACTTTTAAATAAAAAATTAAGAATTAACGTAAAACAGTGAAAATAATCGTAAAATTGATATTATTTAACGTAAAATAGTTAAAAGTATTATTACACCTTAAGAAAAAAATTGAAATAATTCTAAACGTAATGAAAAGTAACAACAAACGTAAAAAGATATTATTGAAATGTAATAAATTGGTAATGTAAAAAAATTAATATTATAAATAAAAAAATAATTCAATCAAAAAATAAGTGTTAACGTAAAAATATGAGAATAATAGTAAAATTGGTATCATTTGACATAAAATATATTAAAAGTATTGTAATACCTTAAAAAAAACTTGTGGTAATTCTAAACATAATAAAAGTTAAGAACAAGCGTAAAAGATTTTATTATAACATAAATATAAGTTGACAATATAAAAAAATTATTATTATAACTTAAAAATAATTCTAAACAAAAAAAATGTGTTGACGTAAAAAAGTAAGAATAATTAAAAACTGAAATCATTTAGTGTAAAATATGTTACAATGTCGTAATGTAAAAGAATAATAATGGTTGTAAATTGGTATCATTTGACGTAAATTGAATTAAAAGTATCGTAACACCTTAATAAAAAATTATGATAATTCTAAACGTAATAAAAAGTAGAAACAAGTATTAAAAAAAACTATTCTGACATAAATAATATTTTTACAATATAAAAGAATTATTATTACAAATAAATAATAATTATAAACCAAAAAATAAGTGTTAATATAAAAAAGGTGAAGATAATCGTAAAATTGATATCATTAGATGTAAAATGGTTAGAAGTGTCATAACACCTTTAAGAAAAATTTATGATAATCCTAAACGTAATGAAAGTTAACAACAAGTATAAAAAGATATTATTACAACGTAAATAATAAAGTTGATAATGTGAAAAAATTATTATTACAAATAAAAAATAATTTTACACAAAATAAGAGTTCATATAAAACAGTGAGAATAATCATAAAATTAATATTATTTTATATAAAATGGTTAGAAATATCGTTACACTTTAACAAAAAAATTGTAATAATTTTAAATATAATGAAAAGCAACAACAAATATAAAAAAATATTATTGAAGTGTAATAAATTTGTAACATAAAAAAAATTAGTATTATAAATAAAAATAATTTTAAATAGAAAAAAGTGTTAAAGTAAAAAGATGAAAATAATCATAAAATTAGTATAATTTGACATAAAATATGTTTGAAGTGTTGTAATATTTAAGAAAAAGTTGTGATAATTCTAAATATAATAAAATATAAGAACAAGTGTAACAAATTTTATTGTAATGTAAATAATTAAATTGATAACATAAAAAATTATTATTATAAATAAAAAAATAATTCTAAACCTAAAAATAAGTGTTAATGTAAAAATGTGAGAATAATCATAAAATTTGTATAATTTAACGTAAAATGTGTTAAAAGTTTCATAACATAAAAAGATAATAATAGTTGTAAAATGAGTATTATTTAATGTAAAACAGGTTATAACTATCGCAACATCCTAAATAAGAATTATGATAATTTTAAACGTAATAAAATATAAAAATAAGTATAAAAAATATTATTTTAAAATAAATAATTAAGTTGACAATATAAAAGAATTATTATTATAAATAAAAAATAATTCAATTAAAAAATAAGTGCTTGAGTAAAAATATGAGATTAATCGTAAAATTTGTATCATTTAGCATAAAGCATATTAGAAGTGTTGTAACATCTTAAGAAAAAAATTTGTGATAATTCTAAACATAATAAAAAATAAGAACAAATATAAGAACATAGTATTGTAACGTAAATAATTAAATTGACAACGTAAAAATTATTATTATAAATAAAAATTAATTCCAAACTAAAAAAAAGTGTTAACGTAAAAAAAGCAAACAGAAAGTGAAAATAATCATAAAATTGATATTATTTGATATCGTAATAACTTAAAAAAGAGTTATAATAATTCTAAATGAAATAGAAAATAAGAATAAGAGCAAAAAAAATTAAAGTAAATAATTAACTTGACAATGTAAAGGAATTGATATTTTTAAATTAAAAGATTCTAAATAAAAAATTATTAATGTAAAAAGATGAAAATAATCATAAAATTCATATCATTAGATGTAATATATGTTTGAAATGTCTTATCCTCAAAAAAAAGTTTTAATAATTCTAAATGTAATGATAAAAAACGTATAAAAATATATATTATTAAACATAATTAATTAAGTTAATTTTATAAAATAAATTGATATTATGAATTTAAAAAATATATTTTTTGTTAAATTAATAAATTAAATAAAATTATGTATACTTTTTTTTATGCTTATTTGTTTATTTGTTAACCTGTTCTTCCTTTTTTCATTTTTTTAAGTTATATTATTCTTATAATTTATCATGATATATCATGAAATATCATGATATCTCATGATTTCCTAATAAAGTTATATATTGTGACCTTACTATAGACAAACTTGAACAAAAATTAATTTTACTAAATAAGGGGTTGGCACACTAAATGAGGATAAGATGTGGATATATCAATGATTTCATATTCTTATAAAATTTATTTAATAGAAAATTTTAAAAATACAAAAAAATTTAGAAAAAAGTAAATAAAAAAAAAGAAGCTCATAGAGAGTACCATGTGGATACTTTTATCAATTTTAAAATATTATTTTCTTCAATTAAATTTATAATATATATAAATATAAAATTAAAATAATAATAAAATATATATCTTTATATATACCTCAAAATGAGTCTAATCAAATTATTCTAAACACGATTTCGTCTCGTTCTCGTTTTTCATAAAAGACGTGGATTCAAAACACTTTTATTTAACCCCATTCAAAGTGTCAATGTGACACTTTTTTTTTTCAACTTTTTTGTTTTTTATTTTTAATTTAATAAATTTTAAAAAACCCAATTGCAAATTTTTATTTTTATTTTTTAAAATCAAGATTGAATTAGATAGATGAATGTATGAAATATATCTTAATTATTTATAAATGTAATATTTTTATCCTAAAAAAATTTAAAACCCCCAAAAAAAGTCACTATAAAACGGGTCTTACTTTGAAAAATAAAATTTATAAAAAAAAATTAAATATAAAAAATTACAAAAAAGTAAAAAAAAAAAGATGATGTGGCCTAAATTTTGATTATATACAAAAATAATGTACTTTCAACCATATATAAACAAAATTTAAGTATTAGATGATGATACAATCTTCTAAGAGACATTTATATAAACGTGCGTATGGAAACACCACAACGCGAGTCATACCTTTTTGTTTATAAGAGAGGAAATTAGTATGGCTAATAATTTTATGAACAGGAAAGGATATCTTTGGGTTTTTCTTTTAATTCCAAATTAGAAAGATTTGGATTAAAAATTTTTATTATATGCAGCCAATATCATCTTTAAGTTAGCATGATGTTTTAACTTATACACGACATTACCAATGATAAATCCAGATATTTGATTTCGTGAAGGACCAATTTAGATTATACTTTCTTTTTTTAAAAAATCTGGTTATATTTACTAATATACCAAAAAAAATGTACTAGAATCAAGATAAAATGCTCACAAATTTATAAATTTCACCAACTCATAAACAAATGCATAAAGAAACAAAAATAAAAGTAATTTTTTTATAGGAACAAAATAAAAGTAAAACATGCTTGGGTTCCTGGATTGGAATCTTGTAGATAAAACTAGAAGGTCAATCAAATTGTTGTTTACTTTGTTGTTTCTTAACACCTATGGCAAGTCTATTGATTTTAGAATTTGTAAATAATGATTTGGAAAAAGAGAATAATAGACAAATAGCAATGTAATTTTAATATTTTGTAAATTAGAGTACTTAAAATTAGGTTATATGAATCCGCAAATGTATGTTTTTAGATAAAAAAAAAAAATAATAACAATTTTAGTTTGAGTGGTTAATTTAAATTTATTTAATATAAATATATATAAACTAGGGGCTTCTAAAATTTTGGGGGATCTAGCTCTTATATAAATCTACTATTGGATATAAACATGCTGTTTTCATCTTACTATATTTGTCCCTTATTGTATTTATGAATTATAAATTTTGAGTTTCAAAATTTTCAAAGTATATTTTTAAAATTTGAATTCAATATAATAATATTTTTAAAAAATGGTCTAAGCTAAATTTATTTAACCGAAAAAGTCAAACATGAAAATATTTTACCATTTCATTTGCTTCTAATTTGTTTAATAACCAAACAAAGTTGATAATTTATCTCTCACTTTGTTTTGTTAATTTGTTCCTTTTTGTTCCTTGACGATTTTATTTTCAGCTTCATGGAATTGGATAGATTAGACGAACAGTACTTTTCTGCAATCGAGAAACATGCTCTGGTCGCCTAGAAATTTTGGTCAGTGCATAAATTATTCAACCCTGAAGACTTTGTTTTGATCGCCAAGAAGTTTTGGTTTGTGCATAATTAATGTGTCTTCTATCTCTCGACCTTCGCTAATCATGAAGATAGAGTTCAACAAGAAGGAGCACACTTTGTCACGACAGATCAAGCAGCAGTAAACAAGATGGAGCGTCTCGCTCAGGAGATTGTCCTCCACATGCTATCCAGGCTTCCGGTAACATCTTTGCTGCAATCAAAGCTAGTATGCCGAGCCTGGCGAAGGTTAATCGAAGATCCACTTCTTTTTACAAAGCATTTTTCCTACATGGCTGACAGTGATCCAAGCTTCATCTTACAACCAGATGGCCCGTCCCATATCAGATTTATTTTGTAGATTTCTTTTCTCACAACCAAGGAGAGGTGATCTCAAAGAAACTTCCTATTTCTTTTATGCATATGTACTTTTTGGTAGATTCATGCAATGGCTTGCTATGCTTGCATGATTCTTCAGAAAACATCTATGTTTATAATCCGTTTATCAGGTTTCCCATGGAGCTCCCAAAATTGATTAAGTATCCTCCAAGATTAGGATTGTATGGATTTGGTTTCCTTCCAACAACAAAGGAATACAAGTTGGTCCATATATATTATCATAGAAACTTTAGACCTGGAGGCGACCCTCAAATTCCTGCATCAACTTTAGAACAATCTGAGGTTCATGTTCTAACAATTGGAAACCCCCAGTTGGAGAAATTTAGGAATGATACCTTACCGTTTCCTTTGGCAACCATCACAGGTTTTGGTCGGAGGCAGACTTCATTGGCTTTCTGACCCTAACAGATACACCAGAGCCGGCCAGATCATATCCTTCTACCTAACAACAGAGAAATTTCAGGAGTTCCTTCCTAAACCTGATTACTGTGGCTTAGTTAGGTGTTTCCATCAGCTGGTGGTCTTACGAGGTTGTCTCTCTGCAGCTGCTTATCATGATAACGACAAACTGGAGATTTGGGTCGTGAAGGAATATGCTGTGAAGGAGTCTTGGATCAAGGAATTTACCATTGGAACATACTTGCCAACAACATTGCGGCAACATGATCTCAAATTAGTCCTTAATTCCAAGGACTATTTCCCTGAAACATTTGCCGGCGTACTATGGATTTTGAAAAATGGTGAGATTTTATTGGAGTACATGGGAAGGGAACTTGTTCTATATGATCCAAGACAAGGAACATTCAAAGAGCTTATATGTCCTGAAATGCTTAAGTATCTTAAGATTATTGCTCATGTTGTTAGCCTCATTGGGACTGACAATACTGTCATTATTTCTTAAGAAGTAATCTGTAATTAATGGATGTTTCCTTTTTGTTTGGATCTGCTTGTTGAAAATCAATCTTGCTTTATAACATTTCATATACTTTGCCTTCTCATGGCATTGGTTGCCTAGCTTAAATTTTCAATTCCATCAATCTCCAAACATGTGCTTTTGATTTCATCACAGTTGATGATACAACTTGCCTTACATCTAAATTTGCAGGAAGTTCAAGGTACCAAGCCATTGAATCCTGCATCGGATTGTCTACATATATTCATTTTAATGTCCAGCGACACCCAACTAGATCGCATTACTTGGAAACATATGTAATGTGAAAGAAACGAATAATTAAATAGATGAAATAATCGATTAAGTTGAAAACTGTTAAAGGTTAGTCAATCGACTAAGCATATATATAAGTTGATCAACTAACATCATAAAATCCAAGTTGGAACACTTTTAGATCAAGTTGATCGATAAACCCTTTCGATTAATTAAAAGTGAAATTTTGATTATGGAGTGAATTAGTCGACTAACCAGATGAAGTTAGTTGATTTTTAGTAATCTGAAAGTATACAAATAGAAACAAATGGTTAATTGACTACCCTTAAGATATCTTTCACTCTATAATCTACATCAACTAGTTTCGCTTTCTAATAATTTTTTTTATAAATCGCTTTATAAGTATTTAATTTTAGTTATCATAATTTAAATTTTAATCATTGAAATTAAAATTTTAACATTTTATCAATTCACACTGTTGTTGGTAAATCTTTTCAAATCGTCATTTTCTTTATAAATGGTTATTAATGGCATCTATTAAGATCCAACAAATATGTCATCAATTATTATAATTGAAAAGGTAAATTAATTGGTTGAATAACATCAATATAAAGAGATATATCTCTCTTGGAAAAATTTTCCATAAACAGCAGAGATAGAATCATTTCAACGCACAAAAATACAAGTTTTAATATCAATCCTTTTTCCTTGAAATAGTTAAAAGTCTCTTATGCATTTTTTATTGGAGAAAACCCTTATGTAAAAATAATTCTCATGTTTAATGACTTGAATTCACTATAATAAATATGCAACTAAACATAAGTTTCATTGTATCTTAAAATTATTTGATTAAACTCTGTTTCACACCATTAAGTTTGAATTTATAAGTTAAAAAAAATTAACATTTACTTTTGAAATAATTTCTTTTTTCTCTTAACTTTTCTTTTACACTCACCAAATAACAGAGTAGAGCAGTAAAGATCCAACAGTATTTTTTATGGAAAATGGGAATTAATTGCAACCCTACAAAAGCAAAAGGAGTTACTCTGCTCCGTTTTATTTTCTTTGTTATCATTTGACTTGCATGAAGTTAAAAAATTATTTTAGTGTATTTTTCATTAAAATTTTAATTGTTTTTATGAAATTAATATATTTAGATTTTTTATAAATTAAAAAATAAAAAAAGTTACTTGTAGGACATCTCAAAAAACAAAAGCAGACAAAGACAATGAGATAGGGGATTATTACAATGGAAAAGGTAAATTAACTTAAGGTAAGATTTAAATAAAATTTTTAACCTAGTGATTATTAAAAGTTTTATTAGATAAATATAGTGATATACTATAATTCTATATTGTATCTCTAATTAAAGATCTAAAATTATACTACCAGGTCGGTGGACAAAAAAAAACGACAGAGCATCGTTATCAAATTTGATCCGTTGATTTACTCGAATCTGAATGGTCAGGAACTAAGATGTTTCCGTTGTTTGTGCGTCAAGCATCCACCTTTCCATATCGTCCTGACTTTAACTGTATATAAATATTACCCTCGGAGAGGTTTGTTTCTTCCTCGCAAAGTTTGTTCAAATTCCTTCAACTTCCATCAAAGGCAAAGAAAACCTAAGAACTCGGGTCAAGTCTCTTTTCGTTGTTTTTTCGACGGTATAATTCGATGATATTCCTGTTGTCAAGTTCGGTTATGTTTCTTGATTAAGAGGCCTAGGGAGACTGTGACTTGACCAAATTTTTGTTAGATATGAAAGCGTTTCCTTCCTATAGTTTCCAAATTAAGATTCACATGGTTGTGCAATTTGATTGAACCAGGTGCAGCGAAGATGGAAAAATAGTTAAAACCAATAACATTACAATTATGGGTTCCAATATAATGTTTTCTTTTATTCTATGATCAATGTCCTGATCTCAAGAATCTTAACAGGCTAATATGATCAAGTAATTTATATCAATTTAGTTATTTCCTTTCACAATTCTTTCAGCTTGCCTTTCATGCACCCCATATCTGATGAATCTCATTTTCTAATTCCATATATGGAACAAATAGCTTTTATCTATGTGCGGACATGCGTTTTACACCCTGGATTTGTTTATTTGATTGGCCTGTGTTTTGCAGGTTCGATGCTGTAGGCGACAAATTAATATATGAAACAGAAAATCTTTCTCGAGTAGTAATGGAGCATCGTAGTTATGTTCCTTTTTTGTTGATCATGATCTTGCAATCACAAACTAGCTTGTCATTGTCATGGCCTTCATGGGGAAGGGTTCTGTTTTCTGGACAGGAACAAAGCGCGGAAAATCAATTCCATAATTGGGCAATAACAAGGGATTTTTCTGCAGAATTCTCACTAAAAGCCGTTGATTATACGGAAGGAATTCAACTGGTAGAAAATGCTAAAAGAAAACTGGTCAGCTCCAACTCATGTTGGCAAAGAGCTTATCAACAAATATTTGCCGCCTGCTCTGAGATCATTGGGGATGACAGCGAAAAACGGAAAAGATTTGCTTGGGATCTTTGCAATTGCTTTCAGAATGACTCGGGAAGGCCCTATTTTCCTCACTGTCAACAGGAGTCTTCGATGCAAAAATGTCTTGCAAAGTTGGATGACATTTCCTATCAAACTTATCTTCAATTCTTTCTTGAAACCAACACAATTTGTTATCAGCTACAGTAAGTACTATTTACTGATTAATAGAAAAGATTTTAGAAGCAATCTGTTATTTGCTGTTGTATATAGAATTATGACAATTTATTGATTTTAAAATTGTTTTACAAATGAACCAAACTTTGATTCTGTTTTAAACCGCAGGGCTACTGCATTCAGGCTTCAAACAGAAAAATTGGTGAATGATTTGAAAAACACAGCTCATATTGCAGAGGAAAAAATGGATAACATGGAAATGAAAACAGAGCAGTTGTTACAGAGCTCAAACAACATTCTAAGTTCTCTTAATACGATTGATCAACACTCCCAGCAAGTTGCTGAAACAACTAAGAATGTGTCGGATCACATGGATATTGTAGTGGAACACTCCATGGCGGTTTTCAAGCAATCTCAACAAATCGCAGCTTTTCAATCAGAATTGAAGACAGGACAAGAGCAAATGAAAAGTAATTTGGAAGAAGGGATGGCAACGCTTAATCACTCTTACAAAGACTTGGGTGATAGACTTGATGACATAAAAGATGAGACTGTTGAAGTAGAGAAGAAAATAAACGAAGTTGGTGATGCAATGTCTGAGAAAATGACTACCTTGCAGAGCAGAGCAGATGATATTGGGAAAATGACGGGAATTTCCCTGGAAAAACAGAAGCAGCTTTTAGATAAGCAATCAACAGCTCTTGAGGGTCTTCAAGCGATTACTGAATTTCAATCTCAAGCACTAGCTGAGAGCAGGTAACTCTATTTGCAGAGCATTTTATGAGCAAGTATCATTACATCAACAGAATTTATTGAAAATATTTACCTAGAAATAGCTCATCGACCCTAACTTTGCAGGGCTTCGCTGAAAGAGTTGGCTGAATTTGGCCATACGCAACAAGAAATGCTTCTTCAGCGGCAACAACAGCTTGAACAAGCCCATGAACATCTGGTTGAGAATTCAAAGTCTATATTAGCAGCTCAGGTTTGTGTTTTATATCTGCATTGTTACTCAAAACAACATGATTTGTTTTATACTAATTTGATAGCGCTTTCTTCACAAATTGAACGTTGGAAAATATCAATACAGGAAGCTTTTGAGTTCAAGCAAGCCCACATGTTTGCAGCTTTGGATAAGCTCTTTAGCCTCCATAATGCCATGTTGGTTGAATCCCGTTTGATCAAAGCTTTCTTCCTTTATTGCTTATCAATATTTGTACTCTATGTGCTTACCAGTACAAAGCAAACATACACCGTGAGACCCCGACTCTATATTGGTATGTATGTACATCTTTTTTTTTTTTCCTTTTAAATTGAACAATTGCTTTATTCAAATGGTCATATATATATACATATATATATATATATAATTCATTACATTTCTTAATTCTGACAGGTTTATGTGCTTCATTCATGATTGAAATGGCAATACTGCGATGTTCCATGAATGATATTGAGCAACAAACATGGCTTCTTAATCTGGTTAGGCTGCTCTATACGATCCTTGCATCGATCCAACTTCTATTCGCCATATATTCATATAGGTATATGAAGGGATCATTCTTCCTTTTTTGTTCTTTTTTCTTACTTTCATTTGATCAGACTAATGTGTATGAGTGTGTGTGTGTGATTCATAAAATTACTTTAAATGTCTGGCTGTTTAGTAATAACGATATCTAAGTTTAATATCTGAGAGCGATGCCTTCACTTCGTTGCAGGGATTACGAAATGTTGAACCATCAAATGCTGCTGACATTGATTGAGAAGGTTAATAGCATCCGGAAAAACTCAGACTTGTCTTGGGAGACAGATAGTGATGTGGACTGGTCATCCTGGATTGATACCGAATTTCCAGATGATGTAGACAATCTCAAGGACCCTGACTATATGCCTCCGGTTCCAGCAGAAGAGAGTAAAGAGAATTCATTTGAAACTTCCCCAATTTCAAGGAAATATGATCTCAGACCCCGCCATGGATGTCGAAGTTTTCTCTAATTTAACAAGCTTGCTGATTACGGTTGTCCTCGAAAGGTCCCTTTCCTGCCAATCTGACTACTTGATTACAGCTATAATTTCGTGCCAGTCGAATCACCGGAAGATGTATTTAGCAAATAAGGTTAGACGGCGATCAAGGACCTGAAAACAGTTGTCCTCTAAATATCTAGGCCATTACGTTGTCAGGATGCCAGGATATTTACATTCGAGCCAACCTTCCGTTTGTTTCTAATTGTATTAGTGAAAGCTCGATTGCTTCAAAATTCTTAACAATGAGAAAATACTAAGAGCAAGCTTTATATATATATATGCCATTAATAAACAAATTTAGACTGCATAGTTATTCAAACAGAACTGGATTACTGGATTAATAGCTGTTGCTGGGTAGACATGAAACAAAACTTTTAGCTCGTAGCCACGCACAAAAAAGAGACCCGCACTACACAACAACATTTTTCCGATTAACCCTGAATGCTTCATATGTAGTTATTAGTCAATCAGCCATTCAACTTTCTTAAATTGTTTGCAATATTAAATTGTAAGATTTTGTTTCCATTCATTGAAGCTAAATTAAGAAGAGAGATTTTTCCTATTTTCGCAACTACGGTCTCTTTTGGTTACTAGAAAGGGTGTCCAACTATCTGGCAGGCTTGGGCATAAATTTTTAGGTTTGAGCTTAAGTCGATTGAAATATTTAGGGCCATGAACCTAGGTTTGGGTACGCCTACTCGGACCGTACTCATCCCTAGCCCATATAGAATATTGGAGTCTAGAGATTAGAGAACACAAATTTATGGAATATATTTGATATGGCAGTTAATATTAGCATATCGCTCCAATTTATACAGCATTAGATTTGGGTATACCAACTACGCAGGGAAAGAGAAGAAAATGGTGATTTCAAAATTTAAAAAAAAAAAGGAAAATATGAGAAGTTTTACAAGATAAAATGAAATTAATAATAACTAATGGTATGATAGTCGTCATTTATTTGGTTTTTCTACGATGGTGGATCGATTTCAGCTTTTGGAGTCTGAAAAGTTATGTTTTGTACATTCTTCTTGTTTTGTCTTTGTTCAAGTTTAGTTTTTATGGCAACACCGTGTAATCAATGTATCATACTTAAATCAATGTTGGCGGAGTTTTCTTAAGAAGCAAAGGATTTTTTAGTTGTATTCAATATTTTTTTTGGTTGATTTAAGTATGTTTATTTGTATTAAACCTAACAAATTCATTAAAATTGCCTTCTTATAACTTCTCAACAAATTATATCCACGAAAAAAAAAAGATTTTGTTAATTTAGGTTACTTACTTATGGTTGATGCTTTATTTTGATAGTATATATTTGTTGGCTGGTCTCTTCTATTGTATATCCTAATCTTTAATCCTTTGGTGGATTATTTATATTATTTTTTTCTTTCAAAATAAAAATAAGATAAGTGAGGTTGGTTTTTTTTTAAGTTTCATTTATAATTAAATATTACGTATATATAATTAACTGAATAATTAATTAATCATATCATAATAAAGTTATAACTACTAAATAATCAATTAAAAAATTATAACATAATTAAACAATCAAAATTACACGTAATAAAATTTGAATCCAAGATCTCGTAATTTTAAAATTTCTTTCTTGTCACTAAATTAATGCTTAATTAGTAAGTTAAGTATATTTTTTAAAAGCAAGTAAAAGGAAAAAATTAATGTGTTTTTATAAAAAATGAAAATACATATAAATCATTTTTATATTTTGTTATTATGACTAATTTATCTTATTTCTATATAAATTTATTAGCTACATAAATAGAAATCACTTTATATCACTTTACTCGTGATACCAAACTCAATCAATCACTTTGTGCTTTATGTACAGTATAAATATCAATATTTATTTTTACTAGATTTCTTATAATTATCTACTCATCATAATTATGAATTGTTTGGATTCATAGGCGTAGGACTTTCTTTCCTTTTTCTAATCAAGAGGAGCATTACAGCTGGAATCGAGGATTTCCACGGTTCTACTTCTACCTCAATTCGGATCGGACTCCATGATTTTTTTCTCTATTACATCAATACACCTTTAATCATTATTCACAAACATGAATTTCATAAGTTATACATATAAAGATAGATTCTACACGTGTAAATGATAATAATAAAAGTTTTTTGAAAAATAATTTCACAAAAAATGATTCAAAAGGAGCCTGATCCACCTCAAATTTCACTCATGCTTACGTAAGTTAAACTAAATCGTCAATAATTCTTGTAGTTTATTAATAAAATGTTAAATTTTTAATTCTAGTAATCAAATTTTAATCCTTAACAAAATTAATTATATATAATTAAGACTAAATTTCCCATATTTTTGTTTTAGTTGAATTTCTTTGATCAAACATTTTCAACTTTTATCAAAATCATTTTAAACCTTTTATTTAATTAAATTTTAATAAATATATACTTGAAAATTATTTTATTCGATAAATTTAAGTAGAATTTCTTTTATATAGATTAAAAAGTAGCAAAAATTAAAAAATATATCGACTAGTAAAAGTCAAAATATATATAAGCATTATTTATAATTAAATTTGTTCATGAATCTAATCAAATTAAATTGATTTTTTAAAAAGTTTGTCTAAAATTTAACAGGATTAATTGAATTTAAAAGTGTAATATTTAATTAAAAATATTTAATAATTAATATTTAAATATATTTAAATTTTAAATTAAATAAAAATAAATTTATTAATAAAACAAAATTTTACATCGGACGAAATCAAATCTAGATTCCAAAATTCATGGCCATCTGACTTGACTCATAAATATATCTATTTATAATAATCGTTGTGGAAACTTTAAGCTTTCCTCAAGTCCATTTTATTAAGGCGGCGTCCAATGTGTAAAATTACGAAGAAAGTAGCAATTTCTAACACCCACTACCCTTTGAAATTCTAATTTTAATAATCTTTCGTAATGAACGCTACTGATCTTAATCAAGTAAAGCTTAGTCATTATCAAAGCTCAATTATTTTCCATCATTTCTTGATAATATTCTTTATCTGCTTGTCTTTTTCAGTGCATGCGAGAAAGTGGGGAAAAAAAGGGGGAAATCTACAGGAAATTTTAGAGCTAAATTATTGCACTACTTACGAAGTCGTGTTGAATAAGCAAAAGATTTAAAAGACAAAAGGAGATCCAAAGCTATTTTCATTAGAGATTATGGATGATGGGATGTCATGATCTAGCTTTCAGAATTATGTTTCAGGATTGTTATTGGTTAGATATTTCAGCTTAATTTGGTTTTCCCACTAAACTTATGATTGCTAAGAGGACAACAAGTGTAGCTGAAAGGTGTTGCTACAAAATTTCCACGACTTATCAAGAACCAAGCATGGAATATTAGAGCATTGTCATTAATTATTACCCTTTTGTCTTTTATGTGTGTATATATATATAAGTAAAAAATAGAATAAAAGAGTTAGTAATTGTCTCACTAGTTATAATTATCTTTAAAAAAAAAACCATTGCCAAAATAAAGAATTAATTACATAATTTTTTTCTTTTTTGAAATTTATGTAATAGTATACGCTTTACACCTCAAATATCATATTATCCCCATTATTTTATGTTAGAATAACCTAAATATATATAAAACTTACACTTTTTATCAATTAAAAGTTGTAAATTAATGAAGATAACTGTGTATATCTCTTCATATTAACTTCGAAATGTTTTAAACTTTCAACTTTGCAAATGAACTATGTCGGATGTATAATTGAATGAGAAGTGGTGCCACTTGTTGGAAAGCAACAAATAACTCACAATTTTTTGAGATAAGGATAAGGAGCAGATGGGACTTTAAAGTCTTAAAACTAGCGAGTATATCAAGTACTATATATTTTGTTTTTCATTTAATCCTACTTTTTAGTTGACAAATTTTTGGACACACAAATTTTGAACTTTCTTCTCTTTTTCATATATAGTGGCAAATTGAAGTTTGGGTTTCACAATATAGGGAGACAAATAAGCATAAGAACCTCTTATTTTCTTATTGAAAAGTAAAAAAAAAAAATGATAAACAAGTAAGAAATTGCTATTAAATGTCAAAATTGCATCAGTGTAGTAATTGCATATATAATTTTCTTTTTGAAATGCGAAAGAAATCTTGTTGGAGAAAATAAGAAAGGTTCACAGCACTCATGATAGAAAGTGTCACTAAATGTCAATAAACTCATGATAGAAATGATAAAACGTTACTAAAAGGTCAAAAGGTATATTTTCACTCTTTCTATACATATATACACGCATAATTAATGTATATATATTTTGAAATATTTATACAATATTAATGATGAAAATTTTAAATTTCACAAACAAGATTGAATTATTATCATATTTTAAATTAATAATTAATTAAGACATTAATTTTATAAATATACTCTAATGAAATATTTGTCAACTTTTTAATTTTGCTATATGAAACTTAAAATCTCCATTTTTTTATAAAAAAAAATACTTTCAAGAAGAATAACTTCAATTATTCCTTATATGGCAATCATAAAATCTACTTTTAATGAAAACTAAAAAAGCTCCAAACTCATTGTGTAAAAAATAATAATCTACATATATACATGTGTATATTTTTACACCTCTCCCATTAATTTGTGGTCTTGTTCAAACGATTTATAATATCCTTCCCTAAGGAGGGTAACCTACCTCTTGTGGTGACATTGAAATTAATATAGTCCATAATTTACAAATGAGAAAAAATAAGTCAATAAAAGAACGAGTGTTTGCCCACAAAATTAATTGAACGGGGTGGCACTCACCACCACTAGTGCACATTAGAAATTCCATTACTATTATTATTATGATAAAGAAAATGGAGTTGGAGCGGTTGACTATCATTTTTTTTTCCATGTCCCACTAAACTTGGACATAAACCCAACCACATCATTTCTCCTTTGAGTATTTTCCCTAGACTCTTACCTCATTTCCACACTACTTATGAATTTTCCATTAGATGATTGTATACCACAGCATTTATAATTAACTGGTTTTATTCTTTTGGGATATGGAAATGTCAAAGTAATGTAGACACTAAATTTGTCTAGGTCTTTGCCTTAGTTTTAAAACCGGATCTGAATTCACTATTTTTGTTTCGTTCTTCATTTTATTTTATTTTTTTATTTTGATTTTATAATTTAGTATTAAAATAAAATATTAATCAGATATTAATAATAATTAATTAAACCAAAAATACAAAAAAAAAAAAGCAAAAACCAAGAGGGCTAGTGCCAATGGGTGCTGTGCACAATATCATTGCCACCCCTCTATCCACCCCCTATTCACTAGAGCACTGGCCACTCACTTTCCTGTAGAACCACTCCACTGTAGCCCTATCAACACCCCCTGAACCTTCACTAGCCATTATCTGCCCTAACCGGCTTTATAAAACCAATAACCAGAAAAAGACCAAGGGGGGATTGAGCTACCCATTACACACCATGCACCAAGAAAGCACAACTTAGCCTCTCTTTTGTGCTAGTCCTAGAACCCTAGCGAAGACCTAACCAAAACCCATGCCCTAGATAGCCCACTAAAAAACCACCAAAAAAATTTTTTTGCCAAAAAATATTTTAGAAAAACTCATCACCAAAAAAGAAAGAAGAAAAACCTAAACAAAAAAAATCAAAAACACAATCCTCCCCTTTAGGGAGGAACCCATCACCAAAAGCCCTTGCAAAAAAAAAAAATCAATTTAGCTTTTATAAAAAAATATTTAACTGAACCTTTAAGGTTCGATCTAGGGTGTTTCAATGAGATTCGGATGAAACTAGACCTAAATCTATGTTTAAGGGGTCGAGAAAAATTTTTTAAGAGTTTTTAAAATTTTTCGATGACCAACACTACAGCCGACGATACTAACAGTGACCAGCATGGCAAACGGTGACCAACCGATTGAGGTAGAGAGAGAAAGGGTTTAAAAAAGAGATGAAGAGAAAAATAAAAAAAATTTGGGATTTTATAAAAAAAAAAAAGGGAAAACGATGTCGTTTAGGAAGAAGCAAAACAACACCATTTGAGCCCCAAAATCCGTATGTTAGCCCTAACTAGACCCGAAATCCGCACACTTGACCCCGACATCCCTCAGCATCTAACCAGTCTAATTGAACTAACTCAGACTAGATTAAACCAGCATTGAACCATCGAATCGCCAAATTAACGTTGACTAGTTCGGTTTAGGTAAAAAAAAATTTTTTTAATTTTAATATTATTTTTATTATTTAAATTTTATTATTAATATTTATGTATATTAAAATGTTTAAATTTGCTAGAATAAATTTTTGTTGTTTTATAATAATAATTAATAAAAATAAATAATGAAATATATAGTTAAAATTTTTTATAATTTTATTAATTTTAAAATAAACCTTATAAAATAAGTGATAAAAATAAGAAAAAAAATTTATTCGATGACGAGATTTTAAAAGTATTCCGAGTAGTGATGCTTTATGAAATCCCTAAGTGAGAATGTTTTTTTTAAATATTACCAATATATTGAATATTTATAAAAAAATCTTTAATATGATAAAAATTTCTGTTTTCTTCAAAATTTTAAATAAAAAAGGCAATAAAATTTCTAAAAAAGAAAATGAAATATATGCATCAATATATTGTTATTTGCACTGCATGTACGACCAAAAAAAATTTTTTACTAAGAGTAAATCCGAGCTTCTTAGAATAAGATTTCAAGGTATTTCGAAAACTGATGCCTATGAAATCTCTAGAAGAGAAAAAATTCTTTTAATGTTACCAATGTACTAAAATATTTTAAGAATTATTTCAATAAAAAAGTTTCAATTTATTTTTCTCGAATAAAACGTAATAACCAAAATAATAATAATAATAATAATATCAAAACTTCGATAAACAAAGAAAGTCAAGAAAATTACTTTTTAAACATCAAAACTAAGACTGTTTTTGTTAGGATTAATAGATAACATGTAATTAATTGACACAGTTTTAAACGGTCACTGTGAGGGTGCTAATCCTTCTTTATGCATAACCGACTCCCATATCCAGATTGTTTTCGTAGATCTTAAAATTATCTTTTTAATAAATTTTAATTAATTTTAAAATTTCATTAAAAAGATATGTTTTAATAAGTGACTAATCGCACTTAGCCAAAAAAAGATTGGTGATGACTCTATTTTTTATTTTTTATTTTCAAATTCATCGAACGACTCCAAAACCATTACGACAAGCAAATTTTCAATTTATCTCTAGCTAGTACTGTTTACACAACTTTAATTTGACAATAATCATAGAAAATTTTGTTTCAAACAATTATTTTATATATATATATATATATTGTAGACACCAATTTTGACTATTGTATTTTTTTATTAATATTAATATTATTTATTAATTAATTAATTTAAAAAAAAGAAAAAAAAGTCAAAAAAAAAATCTTTTGGTTTCAACTCTGGTAACTGAAATCAAGCTGAAGATTTGTTTTGTTCTGAACTCCTAAAACACGAAATCTGGTTCCAAAGTCACATAGACCAAATTTTCCATAAATTTCCAGAAGATCTGATAATCCAAAATCTATAAATAAACTAATATTATCTGCATAAACAGAAGATTCGAAAACATAAAATATAAGGAAACACAACAATAAAATAAAATAGCTAAAATCAAATAAACATTTCAAATGAATATTTCAATAAAAAGTTATTTTTTATATATGCTTTTGAAAAGTATTTAAAGAATTAGCATAAAAGTGATTATGAAGAATTTTTAAGAATTAAGAAAATTTTTATTGGCGTCGAAATTACTTAAAATAGTTTGAATTGATTTCGAGACCAACATTAATATTGATAATATTATTCGAAAACGTTAATTTTTCAAAATTGGATTATATTTTTTTAACGCCATTAAAGTTTTCGACCACCAATGCACGACAGTGACCAATAGGAAATTAGGTTATCACGACAACCGACAAGGGGTGCTGGGATTTTAGAGAGAGGGGCTTTGGGGTAGAGAGAGAGAGGGGAAAGAAAAAAAATTGAAATAGGCCTTTTATAGGCCTTCCAAAACGATGTCGTTTTGGGCATCTGGATCGAACCCGACCGGCGCAAGACCGCGCGTTGACCCACGCTCTAACTCGACTCGTTTCGTAGGTTTTTCTTTTCTTTTTCCTTTTATTCTCTGTTTTGATTTTGATTTTGATTTATTTTATGTTATTTTTTATGCTATTTTTTATATAATATTATTGTTATTATTATTTTATATTATTACTAGTAATAATTTTTATTTCTTTAGAAACAAATAAATAGAATAAAAATGAAACTGAAATAAAATAGAGATAAAAAATATATAATATAAATAAAAAATTAAAAATAATATTAATAATTTAAAGGAAATAGATTCTATTACAAGCAAAAATATTATTTAAATTTCACCAAAAGTGTTGTGATAATTTAGAAAAAATAATTTTTTCTAAAAAATAAAAAATTATAAAAAATAAAAAATAAAATGTTTAAATGAATCTTTTAAATGCAATTTTTAGAGAAAGCTAAAAGAGTTTAATTTTTTTTTAATTATTGCAAGTAAAAATAATTTTTTGGATTTCACCGTAGAGTTGGGATAATCCAAAATTATTTTTACTTAAATAAAGATTGATTTAAACAATATAAAACAATAATAAATTATAATAATAATAATAATAATAATAATAATAATAATAATAATAATAATTGATATTTTGAATATTTAAAAATATAGAAAATTGAAAGAGTTTGATTTTCTTCAATACAAAGAAGAGATTAATATTTAGATTTCACCGGTGAGTCGGGATAATGTAAATTTCTTCTTATAAAAAAATAATTAAATAATAATAATATAAAATTTTAAAATAACCATAATATTTAGATTTCACCGAAGAGTTAGGATAATCTTAAAATTTGTTTAACAAATTTTGGGAACTCACCAAAGAGTCGGGATGTTCTTAAAATCCTTTTTCAAATAAATAATTAAAATATCTTATGACAAAGTCTTTGAGAATATTTGTGAATGGTCAATTTTCTTGAAATATTTTCTAAATAATGATTTTTTATAAATTCCACCAAAGCGTTGGAGAATTTATAGAATACGAAATAATAATAATAATGTTAATTTCATAATAGAGAAAAATGTTTTAAAATAAATTTTAGAAAATTAAACTTAAATAAAAAAAGATCTTGTTATCAAAATTATAGGATTTCGCATGTTTAAATGGTATCATTCTTCAAACGGGCGATGTGAGGGTGCTAATTCTTTCCTCACTCGTAACCGTACTCTTGAACTTAGTCCTAATTTCGCAAACCTAAACTTTTTTTGGTAAGTTTTAATTAATTTTAAGATTTTTACTAAAGGATGATATTTTGGGTGGCCAATCGCACCCTATAAAAAGATTGGTGGCGACTCCGAAAATTTTCACCAAGTCCAGTGATCGAGTCCCCTTAAATGAAAAATCGTTATGACAGCTTGGCGACTCAGTTAGGACGCTTCTGAGTCAAGCCAAAAAATTAAACATGCGCCATCCAAATTTTGATTTCATGGTCTTTTCGATATTTAACTTTAATTTCTTATCTCATATTCGAATATTAAAATTTTTTCATTTGGTTGTGATATGTTATTATTTTATATTATTGCTAATTATATTGTTAATTTTATTTATTACATTCCCTCACACATGTTCACATTAACATTCATGCATGAGCTCTATACCCGGGCTCTCAAATCTATCAATTTTTAGGAAGGAGTAGAGTACCTACACTTGCATGAGATTATAATGCCTTCGCTTGGGTTAACTAAATACTTTCACTCAAGTTGAACTCTTTTCGTCGGTAGCCCATTATGGGTGAGGATCGAGGGCCTTACTAGTCCAGAGTGGATGACAGTGAGGATCATTTGGGAACCTTTTTAGCCTATGTTAATTACCAAACCATGCATATAGTGAACCTTAAAAAACCAACCTTAGATAAGGCCATACTATTTTTTATTATACCGTAAATTAGGACACATTAGGAAATATTTATTTTAATGTGATTACTAACCCTATTTTGTTTTGATATCCTTTTGTTTCATGATCATGCATCATCATAAACATTTGCATATGGGATGTGTTTATCAATATGCCAATATTAGTAAGAAGATTTTCAGTCTTGCTTCGAAAACACCACATAATGTTCTCAGCTTCGAAGCTCACCGTGTGTGAAGAGACCAAAGTGGTGATAACTCTATTATTAGAAGCCCAAAGTAGAATGGAAAATTGTTTGAAAGAATCTGAACAAGAAATTTTGCCTAAAGAAATCAAGTTGGGACTTTAACAAAATGACATTTCTGAGTTGGTCGAAATCTGGCGTTGTGTAACAACTTTTAGGAAGA